GACTTAATTTCACTTGTTCTTTTTTAATTTTGGAGTAAATAATGTCACCAGCGATTGAGTGATAACAAATCAGAGTGCAGCAAATCGGGGTTGATCTTCCCGACGTACGCCGTGACTTGTTTTGTCACATTGTTGCCGTTGCGTGCAATGGGCAAATTATTGCTATTCTAGTTATTTTTTTTTTGATTTGAAGGCTCTGCACCTTTGAAAGACTTCGCAACATATTGCAGACTTCCGTTTTTATCACTGTCTGTGTATGGCTAACAAAAGCAGGATTACCTAAATTGATCAATACATGTTATTGTTTTAAATACGTGCAAGACGAGACTGACACTTGTAAACAAAAATATAAGCATCACGGCTGAGTGACCAAGCGTCACGGACAAAGGGCAAACATCACGACCGAGTGTCCAAGCGTCACGGTACCGTGTCGGTTCAGAGGCCTGGGGAGAACACTGCTTAGATTTGCCAGCTAAAAAATGCTGTGAATCGTTACTTACATAGAAAATTTGGAAATATCTGATCTGTTTTTTCGATAACAAAGTTGCATTTTGGGCATCTGTTACTTTCTTCTAGACTCCTTGTGATACACTTAAAGCTGAAAAGATAAAACAATTAGTGACATTCATATGTTCTAATATACAATTAAAGTAAGCTTAGAAAGAACATGCTGCTACTATTGGAAGTACAAGAAGCAGATTTAGGGGATAATGAAAATAGTATTTCAAATGTTTTATATGCACATCTATAGTTGATATCTTTGAATTTAATAAGCTCCTTGTCTGATTGTGAAAATACAAATAGATTATTTATGCAAATTTAAGAATTAATATGTACAGATTCCAACCCAAAACTAATCATGTATGCACATTGTACACATGCATCTATGTACATAAAACACATTCTAATTAGATGATTAAGATGCATAGATTCCAGGCCGAAACAAATCAGGTCTAGGCATTGAAAAGCTTATATCTACACAAATTTTATTGAAATGATTAGTTCTTGAATAATAGTAGAAAACTGACCATTATGCAATTTAAGATATTTAATATGCATCAATTTTTTATCTAAAACTAGTCTAGTCTTTGAATTTTCCAAGAGCATCTATGTAGTATGTTTCAATGAAATATAATGATTGGCACTTGAGATATCGATGAAGAAGCCAAAAAATTGGCTAATTATTATGCAAATTAGGTAATTAGTATAGAAAATATTTAACCCCAAACTAATTAAGTATGTCATAAAACATCTATATACTATTTTCATTGTAATGCAATGATTGGTTCTTGAGATAATGGTGGTAAAGACATGCAGACATAGATACAAACAGCCTAACTAACTAACTAACCATTTATTTTTTAGAAATACCATGAATAGAGGCAGCATGTGCCTACCGGTAATTGTGAACTGAGATAAAAGAAACCCAGTGCAAATTTCCGGCCCATCTGTTTGTTTAGACCAGAATAATTTTTAAAACGTGTAATAATCTACTACAGACATGTGGCAGCACACCCTTCTAATAATTAATTTAAGCTAATAAAACCTTATGGTAAGAACAAATGGCGATCCAGCACTCCAACATCACAACAATACAGGTAAACAAGACATTTTCAAGAATGGTTGCCATGGACACACAGATCAGTCCAGTAGATTTTGGTAGAAATTTGGATCAGGTTGCGATTGACAACAATTTAGGGAAATTTCTCATTCAGGTCAACTGAAATAAATTCTGTGTTTCCAGTTTATACAAAAGGGCTGACACTTGTTTATTTCTAAATTCTATGTTTATTCAACAATTGTTATTCCTTTAAAGTTTTTTTTTTTATGAACTTCCTTCTATTAGCATCAACAAGTTATCAGTATTAATTATTAAAGATATTGTAAAGATTAAAATTGCATCTTTTGAATTTGTGCTTTAACTTTTCATGCATAACACGAAACAGGCATAACACAAGTTGATAGTTTTATGAATGTTTGAAGTAAATTTGATGTCACGTCACTATTTTTTGGCAGATTTATATACTGTAAGAAAAGCTCCATCACATTACTTGCTAAATCAGTTGATGGCAGATCAAATCATTGTAAATGTTCCGTTATCTGTTTCTATTTGGAATGATGAATCACTATTTATTGAAACCATCCAAAATATTATTTTAATTTGCACACTTGAAAAAACAATTTTTCTTACTACTGTAAAATCTGTATTAGAAGCCGCGTCTTTTATTAAAATGGTACAATACAACAGAGGGAATGCGGCTTCTATTAGAACATCTATACATATAAGAAATGGTAATTTATTTGGTTCTCAATTGTTCAAAAAAAATGAGCGTGACTTCTATTAGGGGTGTGGCTTCTAATACAGATTTTATGGTACAGTGAATTGGTTGATAGTTTTAACAGTACTTTTTACACAGTCACCGGAACACCAAATGTATTCTATTAGGCCTTTCAACTCACAAAATTATGAATGGATTCTCATGAAATTTTCAGAAGAGGCTGCATATTGAAAAACAAGTATCCAGAAAGAAATTCAAAGCTCATTTTGAGTATGATAGAGAATTTTTACCGGTATAAGAAGGCATATTAATACTGACTGAAAACCTCTACAGACAGCCAAGATGAATAGGGGAAACAACAGTGTCAGCAGGCTATTTGATAATAATACAACAGAGTAGTGATATTAGTGAAGTGTTAAATTTGCCTTTAAATGGCAGAGGATTGCACTCTATGTGCTTTCCAGTTTGAATTGAGAAGAGGGTCCTGATTGCTTTAGTTTATGCCTCATAAGGGTTGATTTTTTTGAAGATATTTTTTGTAAGACCAAAGTTAAACAAGCAGCCTCTCGGCTGAGATAGCTCCGCTGTTTGCAATGCACATTTCAATTACTGAACTGAATATATCATTAGAAAATACACAAATCTGAGAGAGGTCAACCTATATGTATAATATCAAAGCAATCGGACTGGCTGTTTCAACAAAAAATCAAAAATATTCATCAAAATTAGAGAATTGAAAATGTCATCACGAAATGAACAAATCTGAGAGAGGTCTACCTGAGGTACAATTAAGTATCAAAAGAATAGAATTGTAGTTTTCAAGAAGAAGTCAAAAAATTAAAAAGTTGACACAGACGACGTCAGACATTCACTCATATGATGCTAAAAACATGGACTTCTGCCTATTAACAAGCCAAGTTTTAATTCCAGGATAGACAGTACATCAAAGAAAACATTGCAGTCTAAAATTTATCTACATGTACCTAGTTGTAATGTACCTCTAAATTCAGTTAAAGTTCCATTCTTAGGTTAATGGCACTTTAGCTAATTTGTGTATTAAAATAAAACCACTGAAACTACATACAGCTATTTCTGCCATAACTGAAATATTTGATAGATTTTTTCCAGTCAACAAATATTTATATAATCTAAACAAGTAATCATATTTCCACAATGAAAAATGTTCTAGAAATAGCATTAGTTGTACAATGTTTGTCCCAATTTCTCAATACATAGATATTAAAAACATTGTTGACCAATATCCCAATACTACATGAACACCAACAAATATTGTCATGTGATTTCTATGGATTTTCTCCAAAATTTATGGATATAAAAAAAAAGAATGATAAGTTCCTTCTTTCCAGGGTTTAAATTCCAAGTTAATCACACTTAATAAATTGGAATATTATATCTGATCCAAAAAAACATGAATTATTAAGTTTGATCGCTTTATCGGAATTGCACCAAAGCGGTGAACTCGTGTATACTGCATGTTAATTTATTTATTCAACAGAACATAGAAATGACAGAAACATGATAATAATACAATATTAAATACAAATTAGTAGAAATTAAAGAATTGTGTTTTTAAGGTACACAGTGATAGATTTTATTTGTCAATAATAATCTAGTTCAGCTACTGATAATTAAACTACTGGTAACTCACTACCGTGTACACAGACACTTAGTTTTCAGATATATATATGTAGCACTACAGGTTCAAAGTCTGTTCATATAAAACTATTTTTATCACATGCATATTAATACTGCATTTAATATGCACTATGTAATGAGCTTTAAAATCATGCTAGGTATGACCATAGACTTAACTACCTGAAAGGTTTCATCAAATAAATTTCAAAGTGCAAAGAAAGACGGGGTACATTACATGTTTCAATTGAAGCAAGTAAATGGTTCTGTGTTTTTTTTCCACAGTAATACATCCTACTATGATGGCCATTTTGAATCGAAAGTTTGTCAAAATACATACATTAGAGGTTTATAATTTAATAACTAGGTTAGTTACCTTAATTATTTTTCGTAATCCCAATAGCCAGTTACATGTCAGTGAGAAAAACTGCTAGTGTCACAGTGTGCTAACCATGTTTATCCTTAGGAAGCATAGAGAAAACAGCAACAGGCAATGTGTAAATTTACTCTTGTCAATTGAAATCCCCGCCTGTCTTGGAACAGGTGGACAGCCTTAATTTCCATCCTCTGGAACTAGCGATAAATTACATGACTATTGATTATAAACACTACTACTGAAATATTTTGAAACACAGCGAGCGTGAAAACAACATTTGAAAAATACAAAATATTTTATCCCCCCCCCCCCCCCCGAGAATAAAAGTATTCATCATTCTGCTCATAGTGCATCAATTGAAACTGTGTGCTTTACAGCTTAATTTTTTTAGCAAAATTCCAGAAAAAAATTTGTTTTTCAGTTTTTTTGAAAAATCACAATAAAATACTGATAAAAAGCCACCTTCACAACTTATTTAACAAATTTAGGAGAAATTTTCTTTCTTGGCCTAATGTAGTTACAATTTCTCTGCATTACCAGCAGACAAAAAAAAAAAGTGGTGTGCTCTATGCATACATAGCTTTATCTCATTAACCAGGGCCACACACTGTTAAAGAGAGTTAGTAAAGCATATATAAACACACACCCTGGGAAGAAACTAAGAATTATCTGAAGTTATCAGAGTGTACATGGTATCTAGGTCAAAGGTCAGTCAGATCTATAACACAAGATCCTTTGTTCTTGCATACATACATACATACAATGTGAAACAGGTTGCCATCAGGAATTTATAGGAAGGTGCCTGGAGCGCTGGGGTTGTCAAGCGTGGAATTCCAGGATTTTATGTACAAGGATATTAAAGCACCATTATATATCAGTAACATTGCTTTTTGGTGTTCATCTGCAGTATTGTTTGTAGTCCAGCAGTGGCAACTATACATTATATAACTACAAGTTCAAACCTACTGTAAAATACTTTATTTTCGCTTGGAATTAATTTTCGCTGAAAGAATAATTCAGTGAAAATAAAATCCAGTGAATATATCTTTTTTTTCTATATTTTACATTAAACTTGCAAAAAATCAGTGAAAATAAATTTCATACAAAACACTCAAAAAGTCTTTTCAGGGAAAATTAATTTCAGCTAAAATAAAGTATTTTACAGTATTTAAATGCACCTCTGTTTTTTAGGACTCCTAAAACACCTCAAATTGAATTAGTGAAATAAAGTTATATGAATCATAAATTGGTTCAATATGTTGCTTTACTTGTGAAATTTTTAATAAGTAACTTTTCACTGTACAGCGATGGGTATTACTTTTACACACGTTACATTCCTGAATTTCTGAAATTGTAGCAACACACCCCTGCCCCTCCTTCCAGTCGCAGTTAACTGTTTACGTCATTCTGACTTCTTCCGAAGTGAAACTGCGCCACCAAACATCAAACAAAGGGAGGAAGCTACGCACTAAATACCACAAAAACTTGAAGCTGTAAAAACTATTCCTTTTACAAGTGCCTGCTGACACCGTTTTTTTCCCCATTCATTTTTGCTATCTGCAGAAACTTGTGGTTTGCGAATCACCATCAAATAATAAGAAATAAATTACTGACATTTGATTTTATTCTTAGGTTTAAACAATTATTTTATACTGCACTCACATGTACAGTCAGAATCACAAAACACTATCACTAAAATACAATTGCTGCTAAGTGGTGGGTGAAATTGAAGTCTGTTAACATCTTAATGAATTACCATGAACACAAATATGTGGGAGTCTGAATAATGTAGTCATGTACTGCAAATTTCAGTGGTTTGCACTCTCCCTCCCCAAACAAATATGTAAAAGTTTGTTAAATCCAATTAGATTATCCTATGCAACAAGCTTGTGATCTTGCGCATGAAAAACGTGCATTCACATACTGTAAAATACTTTATTTTCACTTGGAATTTATTTTTTCTATTTTCACTGAGCGTAATAAAATCCAGCGAATATACCCTTTTTCTTATATTTTACATTCAACTCATCAAAAAACCAGTGAAAATAAATCCCATACAAAACACCCAAAGGGTATATTCAGCAAAAATTACCAACAATTCCAGCTAAAATAAAGTATTTTACAGTATCAAGTTGTTGAATACGTCTAAACTTGTGGTTTACCTCTCAAAATGGCGACCATATTTGCTGAAAGGGTATCAATTACCAATAATAAAACTGATTTACTATTATAATATAGTAGTAATATAGTTTTTTATTAGTTTTCCCAAGATTTGTTAAAAGGAATATAGTACAAGTATATTTTAAATTTTTAAGTCAAGAGATAAGAAATTGGAACCAGAAAAAACATGTTGCAAATGTTTCACAGACACTATAAGTGTGTGGGAGTCTTAGACACAAACTACAAAGTATGGATATCCCCAGTGGGTATGTCTAATAAAAGATGAATAAACTTACCAGAAGGTATGACCACATTTTGTCATATGCGCCTCTTCTATCATTTCAAAACAAATTGGACTGCAAAATAAAATATTTATACTTTTAAAGGTTATAATCGATAACAAAAGTGGTTTTCTCAGTGACACTTATAAGTGACTTATTACTAAATATTATCAAACAATTTCTCATAACAAATATCAAATCAAAACTAAAAATGACACATCTGAAGAATGAATTCCAGTTCTATTAAATTGACTGGGTCTTTGTAGCTCTTAACAACAGTCATTAATGAGAACCCAATGACCCAACTACGATTAGACAGAGATTCATGAATGATTGCATGTTTTTAATTTTATAATTTTCATAATATTAAAAAGAAGTATTTAAATTCAATGGTTCTGCAACATTTAGTAACAAATTATTAATTATTAAATTAATGAGGATTTTGAATTACGATATAAAAATTAAAGTTAAATCTCATTTGTTGATGCAACTAAGATGGAGTCTGTACAACAAAAGGAATTCAGCTGTCTCAAAATTAGCGTAGAACACTTTGTCCAAAATGAAATGGAAACTAGCGTAATGGAACATTAATTATTTGTCATATTTTAGGTGTAAAACAATCAATTTAACAGAAAACACTTAAGCCTTTGTCCGAAATGATAGAAACAATTTAGGACATTTTGAAGTGATCATCTGAATCACTGGCTGTCTGCAATTGACAGTTTCTGCAAGACAACATAACCTGATTAGATCATTCATGACCAGAATTGTATTTTTTTTTCGGTTTCACATTGGCTTTATTAATGATGGTCAAGTTAGATTTATAGCATATAAACCACTCATACTTAAAACAGAGGACATTTCAAAAATAATACTGTGAACAAAAATAACTGCAAAATAGCACCACTCCACTGGTATCACATTACTGGGCTTGAACTTGACAGAGACATCAAAGCAACAAGTCTGCCTTGATGCCTTCCAGAAAATACTGACAATCTTTACACTACTAAAATTGAATGCCCACTCAAGTTCAAGTTTTGACAACTTTCCACATTTTTCTATTAAACTATGATAAACTATTCAATATTAAGTTAATGGACACTATATGCTAGTTCAGATGGTTTAGAATGCCTAGTTTATATTGTAATAATCCAAATTCTGCCAAATATTTAAATAAATTTGTGAATATTGGAAGAAATAATAGTCGTCATACTATCTACATGTACTAGTATACAACAAACCAATTCCATTCATCTTCATTAATATATTTAAAAATTCCAATGGCAATTGAATCAAACCACCCCATCAAGGAGTGCAGTGCTTCATTATTTGAAAATATTCTAATGATATTCAATCAGCAAATAAATTATGAAATCTATAAATATTTATAAAGATGTAGGGAACAAGTACAAAACCAATATTGCAATGATGATATTGTTAGAAGTTATTAATTCACACTGAGAAATCAAACAGTACTGTACAGATCAAATATTCTGTTGAAACCACCCATTGGGAAAGCATTGTACCAGATTTGTCTGCAACATGTGTGAATGAATTGTAGGACACATCAGTGGAACCCACTGAGCACTGCAAATGTTACAGTGATCCACTTTGGATGCTAGACATGCTCATTCTTGTGAATAAATTTGGGTGTATTTTTTAAAATAATAAATCAATATTGGATTTCATTATTTTTGCTCGCGAATTTTTTTTTTTAGTGCTAATAGTTAAAGCATATAGGTTAAACATAATTTTTTTCAAAGTAAACTACATTTTTTTTTTCAAAGTTAACTATTTCAGGATGTTTAACAGTTGCACTGTGAAACTCGAAATGCGAAAGCAAATAGGATCGTATCATGGGTATGGTATGCAGCCTCCCACGAATTCCAAATCAAATCAATGTATCACTTTGCAAACCAAGACTAAACAAAAGTGATTTTAATTTTGCAATCACCCGACTGTCCGGGTTGGCATATTTTCTAATATTTGACTAGACGCTTCTGATGGCAACGTCCGACGCATGGTTTTATTAATACTGTGCATTTGACAGCTGTTATGCAAACTCAATCTGGAAGGTCGAATGCAGAGGTGAGAGCGATTCTTTCTTTGTTGACAATGCTAAAAGCATGCACGTTGTCAGTTGATCGAGCGACGACAGTAAAACAATTTGCACATAACACAGTGCGACATCGACGTCATAATTTACCAAGGACGATGCTGTGCAAAGAACAATGCAAGAGTCTGATCTAGGCCGGAAGAAACAAATTTAACCAACAATACAGTCATTTACACATTGAGACGAAATACACATGTAAAGTAAACGTCGAGCGAAATCTTTTGTATTATCCAGATTTGGCCACCGTGTGTTGCTTTTTGTGCAGTAAATCGTGCACGGCGATGTGTGTGTTTGCATCTTTGCAGACATACCAGACAAAATCGTTGTTCTTATCTTCGTACGAGTTGTAAACACCGTTGTATATGGGCGGTTGCGGCCGTTTTCGCCGCCTTGTGGCAGCTTGTCGGTTCGACGACATCTCGCCTTTCCTAGACACACTCTGCAAACGTTATGCTTCCTGCGAGCTGTGCGTTCAGATTTTGCTGCTGGTCCCAGTATCTAAGAAGAATAACGCCGAGCTTGCATCTAAAATATCATCAGTATAGTTGAAATTTTGTAAAATGCATGACAAATGTATTACAATCCGACGTTCGATCGATCACATTTTGTGGCGCAAGTCAGCCTTGTGCATTATTGCGCATGCGTGCACGTTCCGTCATGCATTGCGGAATTCCACAGCACCGGGCAAAACTCCCGGATGAAAATCACACACACACCTGGACGAAACCAGAAAAAAAACGTACCTCAAATTGATTGAAATACTGATTTCTTTCGGGAAGTATGTCGATTGATAAAACCTCGACAAAAACGCATAGCTGAATAGAAGAAAAAAAAATTTCGAAACAACAACTGGTTTGTAAAGACAAAATCAATACCAAGTCTGAACATTATTCATGAAAGAAAAAAAAAGCATCCAATACAAAAAATACTGTCAGTTATATATTTTTTGAGGTAGTTAAATGAAAATAAAATTATTGGTATACATGAATTAAATAAACAGCGGACATCAAAAACAATACATGATCTAATATTCTTACTAAACAAAGGCCGAGTATGCTGCTCCGCGGCGTAAGAGTGGTCTGAAACAATTACTAGTAAAACAATACACCGGCATAGCGTTGACGTAAAATAGGCGGAGCAATCATTCATTGAACATAGAAAATAGCTGCCACTGTGAAATTCCCGTTGATGAGAAACATTATCACAATCCGTGCTAACAGGAGAGTTTCATAAAAGCAAAGACACTAGAAAAAAATGTATAAAATGTGTTTTTAGTGTCTTTTGTAGTAAACAGGAGTATTGAAACGCTATATTACCCAGATCATAGCACACGTTGTATGTTGATAAGCAGTACAACAATATTTATGTGTCAATTTCAACGTATGGTAACATAAAACACTGCATAATACTCGGACAAACTTACACTCTTTGCGTTGACATTTTTCGAAAGCGTCAACTAGAACACGGATGTACTACCATGACTACAATGACTAGACTATAACAATGAGTACTAGTATATACTTATATACACATTACCATGACGTAATATCTCGGGAGACATCAGCAGACAATACACACATAACACCAGGAATTTACAACATACACTGCAATTAATAGTAATAACAACAAGATATCGCTATAGAGGAGACGTGTGTCCGGGTTTTGTCCGAGAGACTAGAAGTTATGTCGGTTCCTCTTTTGTCAAATAATACTAATGTGAAACCATCTATTTCACTGACATTTAATTTTGATGTTTTGGGCATTTTCACTGTGTTTTAATTTCACAAACTTGTCAAGGAAACAACTACATGTAGTTTAATTCAAAGTTGTTATTTTACATGTTCACGTAGATTCAATTTTAGCGGTTTTTACTTTCAGCGAAAATAGCTAAATTAAAACCCAGTGAATTATTGATGCGTTTACAGTACTTGTAATATAAATCCGTGCGCAATTGAATAAAGTGACACATGTTAAAAATTTTTTAAAGGGCGGCAGTCGTCGTACCGCGTCCTGTTCAATATGGGACTCATAGCGACGTATACAACGCGTGTTAAATACATTGTTTATTTACATGAAATTCGAACACGCGCTACGCGACGACCACCGCGCTTTAAACTTTCATACGGACATGATGTGGCGTACTTCATTTCCACATGCGTCAAGATATAATAAAAATTGTGTGTTATTCCAAACAATTACAAAATCAAAATGTTATCCATAGTATTCATTTCCTCTGTTGTGCGTTGTTTTCTGTACAGCCACGCTTTCATTGTAATGTTGTAACCAATTTACGAAATATCTTAAAGGGTGGTCGTCGTGCCGCGCATGTGCGACATTTGTGTTGATAAACATTGATTTTCCCACAATCCAATGCGTTCTTCTAATGAAATTACGAGTATGAGTTCTGATCTGGGCGCAACTTGCACTAATTACCGCCGATGACTCCTTCGATACCTTCCAATCACCTAAAATACCTAAATAAAGCATGGTAAAAGCTCAGTTTGCACCCGCTGGTCTGCGCAACAGTCAAAAGTCGCCAACTTTGTTTATATGAGTCCCATATCTCGCGCATGCGTGGCGCGACGACCACCATTTTTTTTAATATAACAAAATGAGATTGCGTAACAAGGTGATGACTAAATTGCTAGAATTCGTGGATATTCAGCAATGAATTTGTTATTTTTCTTGCCGTTGGTGGCGCACTCACTCATAGGTGACCGTGATACGACATTTGGTTCCAGAATGTCCGTGGACATTTCCTAAAATCATAGAAAGCATAAAAGGTGTAATCCCACTATTTGGGCAACAGAGGTAGGTGTCAATGTGGAAAATACCACCGATAATTAAACTCCTCGACAAATGTGACATCTGCATTGTCTTGAAATATGTTTACAAATTTATGCGAGCTTAGATAATTATCGTTACGTGTGCAATCCTCAGGGGCGGACATCCGGGCATTTTCTACCGCCTGGCAACCCTCGCGGTGAAAACAAAGACCAAAAACTCGCAGAAAACGGTACTTTGCGATGGTTGTT